ATCTCCGTTTACACATATTAAGAAAAATGACTATCTCCGTTTACACATATTAAGAAAAATGACTATCTCCGTTTACACATATTAAGAAAAATGACTATCTCCGTTTACACATATTCCAAAAACATTCAAACAGAACTTAACTGTCTTAACTTTGAGCAGTAAAAGGGAAGGCTTATAAATGACACTAAAAACAATCGGCGAAAGCACTACTAAACATAGATAATTAAGTAATACCTATGTACAATTTTGATATTTTTAAAACAATATTTTTGAGGTGCTTAGAAAAGTACGTAACAGATGCATCAATTGTTTAAAGAAATATTGCAGTAACTGAAATTTATATTTACATGTTAAAGTCGTCGTTGTTGTTGTTTTCTGCTACTCTTGTTATATCTAACGCTTAAATTACAGACTTATTTATATATCGTTAATTATTGGCGGTGTCGTCGTATTATATCATATTGAATAATTTTAGGTAAAGAACATAGGAAAATGCTGAATTCAATCACATATTTTTTACGTGTATGCATAGAATCCACAAGTAATTTGATGTATAAATTTAGAAAAATGTGTTTAAAAATCGGATGAGGTCACCATCAATAAAACATGATTAATCAAGATTATGACATATTTAAAAGTATTTGAGAAATTAGTTTCAACTTACTAGTTGATGGAAAAGCTGGAGCGGTTGATGTTTCTGGAGCTAATGTCGTTGTAGTGATGTTAAGACAATTGCAGAAAAATCTTACTTCGTAGTCTTTACAAGAATGACCTATTACATAGGAACATATTTGAAACAATATTCTAGCTGGAATATTTATTTATAATAGGAATGCATTTTTACATGGAACATTTGAGGTAAAAAAGAGTAACTTGATTAATAAAAGGAATGCGTTTTTACATGGAACATTTGAGGTAAAAAAAGAGTAACTTGATTAATAAAAGGAATGCGTTTTTACATGGAACATTTGAGGTAAAAAAGAGTAACTTGATTAATAAAAGGAATAGCGTTTTACTATGGAACATTAGTAGGTAAAAAAGAGTAACTTGATTAATAAAAGAAATAGCGTTTACTATAGGACGAAGTTAGTAGGTAAAAAGAAG